AGCGTCGATTTCACGGAAAGTTTCGTGCGGAAAAGCATTGCGGTCAATCGTGACTACCGTTCGTACGTGTGTGATTGTGTGTGTCAGTCGGCGCGTATGTCGTGCAATCGTTCAGATGACTCATTGTTGAACGTAATTTGCGTGTACGCGTGTTGGTTGATCACTCGATGAATGAGACGTCTATTAAGAGAAGTATGGAAGTAACGTAACGCTTTCAAATTATTCAATGCGCGTAGTCCACGGCTAAGTTTTCTTCAAGGAGATCGGTTCTTACTCGGTTTGATAAATCTCGCTTCTTGAAGACCTATCTGATAGTTATGAGGAAAAAGGAAGATATCGCGCGTGAGTCCGAGCAGTTGTTCGGATAATACATCGTGGAGCATAATTAACGTACAATTGATGGCGATTAAATAAGACGTTTGTAAGGAATGTAATAGGAAAAAAACATAGGGAAGAACGGTTGTTAGATAAATCCATGTGTTTCCGAAGCGATTACTATAATTGTTAATTATGACGACTGCGCATTATACGTCGTTGATAGACCGCATTTATTTATCTTCCGTCGCAAATTATTTTCCCAAAATCCAATAAGGATGCTCGAAGTGCAATGTCAATTTGTGATCCAAAAACAAGCTAACCTTTCCCAAAAATTGATCTTTTGATAAGAATCAAAATAACTTGCTACTTTTTTATTATACAACAAGTGGGAACAGTGTTAAATATACATTTACATAATGTCTTTGAAAATTCACACGTTATTATATAATATTTCTCTATTTTGCATTGCAATTTCGAACTAGGAAATTAATATTATAGTTATTTTTTAATCAAAAAATTGAATTACCATTGCTTTTTCATGTAACAGTATTTCTTTTTTCTTTCGATTATTATTTTTCTTTCTATCCTGTTATTGTAGGTATTTATTCGAACTTTACAAGGGGGATACTTTCTTTATTTTACATTTGATTAACACACAGACAATTCAAATTCTTCCGTCATACAGAGAGACGCTTCTTCCAAGTCCACAACTAAGGTTCGTCGGATCCATTTAAGATGATCCTTGAACTGGACACGCGAAGCGGCATCTGTCAGCGTATCCTCGCGCGCGGGATCGATTGAAATTGCGCCTTTAAGTATCAGAGCGTGGCTGCGCGCGACTTTTGTGCGAATTTCATTCCGAGGATCTGGTTTTCGATGAGCGTTCAAGCTCTCGGGACGGCGCAGAAAAAGGGGAGCAGAAGTCCGCGTCGCCGTGGCGCCCGAGGTGTGGCCGGCGCCTCCGCGAAGAAGCGCCGAGTCACACCTCATCGGGGCGTGCACGAAGCAACAAAACTTTAAGCGGGCACTTAAGAAGCCGCCCGTCAGTCAGGAGCGTCACTAATTTTCCCGGCTTTTTGCCGCAGCGGCCTCCACCACTCCGCGCGCGTCCTCGCGCGACGATACGTGCTGCCGCGCACACGTGCCCCCTCACGGTACGCGACTTCGGTCGCGGTTTCCTCATTTTCGTCCTAATTAAGCGCGGCTGAGTGTCAACGTGGCGAAAATTAATTAGCGCTACTCCACAGCTATACGCCGGGCTATGGAACACGGGCAGATTGCATTGAGGGAAGAAGGGAGGAACTTCACGGCTCCGAGTATTGCGCGAGACATGTACAAAGATTATTAAAGCGCACGTCATGCTGATCTGTAATTTATGCCGCGCGCGATATACGGTACTTCGCACTTTGACGGTATTTGATGAAACGTGTAGCGATTAATACAGGTTCCACGAACATACCAGGTTTGATTCCGTTGACACAGGTATACTTATTACATCACGAGAGAGTCGCGTTATTCCTTCCAAGTATCGTCGATCAAAAATCTCTCACTCTTCCCAAGCTGCGGTCCATTCTGAAGTGAGAAAATCGAAGCGGAAAGCGCCTCTGTTTTCCTTGGGGCTGAACTATATTTATTTGTACGAATATTCAAAATTCGATCGATCATCCGCGCGCAGCTCGCTCGTGCCGGAAACGTTCACGTTTTCAATTCGACACGCATGAACTAACAGACAAAACCCGAGTTTATTTCTCTGATCGGCATGACGGCGTGCGAAACGCAAACGAGATATACCCGCGATGTAGCAGAGTAATTCGCGCGCGCTCTACGCAAGTTCTGTATCAAAAGCGATCCTTAATCACCGTTGTCCATTACGCCGATCCGGCGTAATGAGCGAGCAAACTGCCGACTGTAGAAATAAATAGCCGTAACGATTACGCCGTGTACAATTGCGACGTGCGTGGAACCGCCGCGCCGCGCCGCGCCGCGTCGCGCCGATGTGATATGGGAAAACGAGCGACGTCTTTGAAAATCGCGGACTTGGCGGCACGCAATTACGCGTAGGAAAAAAATTGAACGGCCGCCGAAATGCAAGGCGCCCTTTCACGATCGGAGCGGCACGGTGCAACGCTTGGCAGCGCTCGCTGCCTGTCATTACGCCATTCGCTCCACCGGTAATTGACAGTCTAATGACACAGTCTAGAGTCTGGCGCTCGCTTCGTCCAGCCTCTACCTTTTCGTACGTCATACATCACGATCTACGAGGATCCTCATTAACGATTCGCCTTCTTTGTGCGCGATCGGCCGCTTGTCTAAACTAAACGGCCGCCAGCCGAAGTCGCGCAGTCATGACTTGTGGGGTGTTCCCTGCTAATCACCGTACGTTCATCGCGACCGGAGGAACAAGAGAATAATGATAATTAAGTGCGTAATGAGATCAATATAGCTGTGTGGATTTTGCATATCGGGCACTTTAAATCGGTATTTTAATCGACTGATCAAAATTTTAGTTTATTATAGTCCGTATCTGTAAGAACGTAAGGATGTAAAGAAAAAAAGGAATCGACTTTTTAAAGAAAATATTGGAATACAGGTTTTTAAACTTCTCTCTCTCTCTCTTTTACAAATAAATTATGCGTTATCTGTTATTATTATTGTAATAAAAAATAGGTATTATATAAAAAAAAGAGGTTATAAATTAACATTTCATTCTTAAGTTATTATATTGTCACGAGTGAAATAGGAAAAAAATTTAAGCGATTACATAAAACATTTACATAATACTTAACAAATAATATTAAAACTAATTTTGGTATATTATTTGCTGCCTGCAGTTGATCAAGAATTGTAAAGAACTTTCCCCGCCGATGTTACACTCGTTTATCCGGGACGAAGCGTGTCAAAATGATTCCGCGGAATCATCCATGGTATACGATTTTAATTTCGTTCGCTTTTTAGCGCGGGACTTGCAAGCCGACCAACAAGCCTGCTGATTAGATTGGAAAGAGGTGATTGGCCCAGAAGTCATCTACCAAAAATTACGAATCTGCAGGCGCCACTGGATGACTTTACAAAAGCATGTTCACAAAGGATGCCGCGGAGAATTTTGAAACCGATTCCAACCGTCTGTGTGTGCGTGTGCGTGATTTTACTTTTGTAAAGAAACCGACAACGGCGGATCTGAACCTTGAAACAATTCAATATTTTCAAAACAAACCCTTTCATTCGATACGACTTTCATAATGCCTTACTTAATGGTCAAAGTTTAACTTATGTTTAACTTATGTTTTAACTCTGCATTCTTTATGATATTTCTCCGAAAGTTTCCTAAATTTGTATCTCTGGAAATATTTGTCGGATCTATTTAAAACTTTCAGGAAATATTCTTCTAAATACCTATTTTTAGAAAATATCATTTTTGGAAAATCGATTTTTTGAAAATTTTAAACGTATATAACCCCTTAATTATTTTTCCCACGCGTTGTTAGACCAGCGTATACCACATTAAATTAAAGTGATATCCGCTCAAATAAATTTCAAATTAAACTTAATATACCTCCCAGGTCAAAAACTAATTGAGCTATACTAGTTGTTAGAAATATATATAAATTTATTAATTAATAATTACATCGGTATATACGGAAAAGTTTCGACTCCACAGAGACCTCAACAATCGCTAACCGAATTCTTAAAAATTAATTAATTTTTTTTTTCTTTTTATATTATCTTTTTTAAATTTTTTTGGTATATTGTGAAGAATATCACAAGTCGGCGTTTCGTCCAAGCCTCCACTGCTAGACTCATCAGTAAGGTAATGTAGTGGAAGCCTACCTTAGACGCCGGTGCAAATTATTAAATCAAGACTCTACATAAAGCAATATATGTATATTTCAACAATTTCGAATTTAGGATCATAGAATTAAAGTGTTGACGAGTAAGATATGCTTAGGGCCGCAAAACCGGTAACGGAGGCGCATGACTCTCGAGATACTTGTTCGGGTTCTGACCAACGATCCTCGCGTTTAACCACGTAAACAACGCCTTTGTTGGCCGCCGCGATTTCCATTTACGGATTCGACACGCGCTGGCACAAAGAACCACGCCGCTATGCTTCCGAGACCGGAGGATCGTGATGAGGACCTTTCTATCCGATATTCAACAATGTATAACGCGAGCATCGAAAGGTCTGTCGATCGTCATGGTTCCATCTTTGTCTCTTTAGAGTCAAACTTTTAACGGCTATTCAACGGTTTTTTACGTACAGCCTCATCATGTAGTCCAACTGCGCTCGCTAAAAAGGCTAATACTTCTAGTAATTGCTTTTCAATAAAAATTTTCTTACTATCTTATAATAAGAAACTTGATCGAAAAATTATATATACTGAACGGTATATATGATGTTTAAGAAAATTATTTTTAACTTTTTGATTGCTTCAGAGAAAGAGAAACTGCGTCGTTTTTATAATGACAAATAGTTATAATTGAACATGATATATATAATACTAACCAGTATCATTGATATATTTAATTAATTTGCATAGGCTAGTTCTGAACAAGTTTTTATATGTAAAAAAAACTAGCGATTGTTTGCATCCTGATGGCGACCATAAAATTAATTATCGTCCGCATATGTCGCGCGTTGCGTCTCATTTAGAAATTAGTAACGCGTTTTTCGTTTCGCTTACCTTCTGTTTTGGTACCACGTTTTCACTTGCGTGTCCGTCAGCTGCAGTTTTGCCGCCAGCTCCATCCTGTCCTGCACACTGAGATACTTTTGCCGCTCGAAGCTCTTCTCAAGGGTCTGAAGCTGGTGATCCGTGAAAGCTGTACGAGCTTTACGCTGCTTCTTACTTTGCGCGGAACCCAAGGAACTCGAAGACGAGCTTTTAGGATCATCCTCTTTGCCACCTGAAATTGCAAAACTATTGATATTGAACGTCTCTTTGCTTTCCTTCCGTTTCTAATCGTGCAATTTAGCTACAAAATTATCTCTAAAGAAGAGAGCAACAATTCTAGATTAAGCATGTGGTCATAAAAGTTACTATAGACCGCTTAATGAATAACGTGTAATTTTATTATTATTATCCTTATTATTATTGGAAATTATATAACATAAATTACATAAGATTTATTTGTTGTTTAATTTCAAAGGACTTTATTTGAATTCAAATGGTTTATCTAAGATTTATTTACTTTTGGCCTATGTATTTCACGATATTCGTATAACACATAGCTGTTTTGCCAAAGAGATTCCTGTAAAGAATCGTCAATCTATCAGGAATTGCGAAGTGCCGGAGTGCTAAGCTTTTGTTTTCGTGGAGGGTGGAATCAATGCCGCGCGCGTGGATTATACGCGGTAGTCGTTTTTGTCGTTGCTTGCATGGCGATTGCAGCCGCCTCTCTATCGATGAAACAGAAAGCGCGAGAGAGAGAGAGAGAGAGAGAGGGGGGGGGGAAAGAGAGAGAGAGAAAGTGGAATCCTTTTGTTCTCAGTTAGACTCCCCGCGTAGCCGAGAGCCGATTGGCTGGTATCGCGGATTGGACCACGCAGCCGCGTCGAGACTCGAGACGCCGCAAATTATCCCCCCGATTCGTCGCCATATCCGGAGAGAGATAGGGAAAAGAGAGGGTAGGATTCCCCGAGGAAACCGATTACACCCGATACGAGTCACACTCACACGCGACACACATGTGACGATTACCGTGTTTATTTCATCCCCCTCGAAACTCATTACGTTTTTCTTATCTCTGTTGCAGAAAAACAGCCCTAAGGAACAGGTGATTTGCTATTTTTAACAGATCAAGGAATCGAGAGCACTTATTATCGGAAAGTAAATATAATGATGACGAATAATAATAATAATGAAAAAAGTGAGATAGTCACTTTAAATATTTTTATACTTATAATAATTTGAAATAATAACATGTATTATTTGTTGCTTGAATTAAAGTTAAAAAAATTTTGAAAAAAGTATTATGCTCTGCCTTTTTCATTATATTATTTCAAAAGAAAAAGAAAACAGAGAAGAGATGCGCACGCCGCACAGAAAGAACGGTTTTGTTGAAGTATCTAAAAATTTAGATAAAAATATTTTATTGAACTATGCAATAATTATGCAATTATTTTCATCAAAGAAAATTATTTAGATTTGTGTCTAAATTTTTCAAAATTACTCTTTCCATTTCTACAAATATTATTTCTGATTAATTTCTGTAAAAATCATAACTTCCGTTTGTGATGTAAACTTTTCAGAGCAATTTTTTTAATGTAGAAAAACCCTTTGCGCTTCGTCAGATAAATTATCCAACCCTCCTCGAATTACCTCGCAGTGGGGGACGTGTCTTGTCGCGAGTAAACCGAGCAACCTCCCGAGAAGTCCCGATCAGAAAACCATCGAGACTTAACCTCCTAGGGGAATAGAAGCCCGCACAGACTTCTAAAAGTATCTAAAGGCCCGTTGTCGCGAGCTCATCGATTGGAACGGTCGTGCATGGCGCGGGAGAAGCACCCTGACAGGAGGTGGAACCAGAGGGGGGAATGCAGCCAGGAATAACATAGCGCCGGAAGGGAAGTGACGGAGAGAGAGAGAGAGAGAGAGAGAGAGAGGAGGAGGAGGAGGTCGGGAAGATAGAAAGCTCGTGGATTGAGTTAACCCGGACGAAAGCGTGGCTCTTAGCCCCCGTTTGATCGGCCAGATTCGCTCGAACGGGTCCAGAGTCTGTACCGCGCCATGTTGGCTACCACGACATGCGTGCGCGCGCGCAAACGTCCCTGATTCTCTCCCTGGAAAAGGCTTGGAGAAACCCCGTCCTGGCTGCATCGGCACCACCACGGCTCGATTCGAGCTCAACTCCCAAGACTTGTCCGCGAAACGCAGAGAAAGGGGTGGACGCGAAAAAGGAGCGAGGGGGAAGGAACGGGAGAATATAAGAGTGGAACGGTGGAAACGGAGGTTGGAAAACTAAATTTACTATGTGATACACTTAGAGCCCGGGTCCCGACCGACGTCGGAGTTCTCTTTTTGAGACACTTTCAAGACGTTAGGCGGAACTTTTTCCACCCCCAGGCTCTCCCTGTCCTTCCCTTTGCACATAGTAACTCGAGAACCATCGCGAAACATCCATCCCTCTTTTTTCCCAGCCGCTCCGTCCGCCCGCGCTGTTCGTCTGCGAGGCACGTAACCTGAGGCTCGGGGCTTATCTGTGTCCGCCTCGTCCTTACGAGCGTGTTCATGCGCTACTCTTAACTTCAGCGTTTTCACTTTGATGGCGAAACGGCGACGCCCGTGATCATCTTTGCGCAAAGTGATCCCCATTTCCGGATTGAAATCACAATTCGCGATCATATGTCTCTTGCGTCGATTATGTCAGTGCAAAATGAATCAATGAGCGAAATAATAGTTAAATCGTATATTTCAATCGTCTGCTAATAACACGTGTCACAAATGATAAATGCACGTTCTTCGAAACATTACACAATAGCTATTATGTTTTTCATTGGCAGCAAAAATAGAAAATTCTTGAAACATAAAAAAAAAAGATACTTCCAAGTTATTCAGTTAGCGACTCGCTCTTTATAACGCCGCTTCTCTTACTCCGCTTTGTAACCTAATGATTCATTTCAACGTGAAAGGTAATCGATATTTTTTTCTTCACTTATAACAATAATGCGACTTTCAAATTCTGCACATTATTCATTACACCATAAAGCCATCCAATTATCCATCCGATAAGAAGAGTTGCAATATTATCTAGTCCCATCAATATAATGACGCAGCAACGCGTTACACATTGAAATAAACTCATGAATATTAATTTTCTTCGCGAGTAAAAAGTGCAAATACTCGTTGCTCATGATGAAACGCGCGTCACTTATCAAACAAAACATGTGCGTTAAATCGCGCGCTTGTAAAGTGCGAATCAAACGAAACTTTAGCGTTAAAATGCATCAATTTCGTATAAGACAGTGTGGTCTGAATTCACCCAGCGGACTTTCCTCTCTCTCTCTCTCTCTCTCTCTCTCTCTCTCTCTCTCTCTCTCTCTCTCTCTCGCGTAGAATATTTCAGCGCAAAGTTCTCAAAATACTCTCAAGATGTTTTACCGGGAACTTCGTCTAGCCGCTAAAGTAACTCGAGCACCTTCTTTCCTTTTGGGGACTAGAACAGTTTTCCTTTATCTTTCCACATCTTTTGCCGACACGACACGTAGTCACCGGGTTTTATGTAGACTTGTCTATGGTTATAAAACGTGTTACGGCGACTTTTTACTCTGCATGTAATTCTAAGTCCACATGAAACACAAGTAAGCGAGCTCCCGAAGAGATTTTCGAGTAACGTGAGCGATATCTTTGAATGCTACCGTTATTGTTTTTCGAAAAGATAAAAATTTCAGAGTGTGTGGCTCTAAAAACGTTTGAAAAGTCTCTAGTTTCTCCGGCGGAACTAATCATCTTTTTTATTCACATTTAACAAATATTTATGAATCTACAAGTACCGTAACGTTTTGCATGAATAAGTTGTCCAAAACATTATTGCCATTGTCAATTATTGTCGATATCTTTGGGGTATACTTTCCATCAATTTTTCAACATAGTTCGTCTAATAAAAGAGCGTGACTAAACAAACTCGTATTTAGAAATGGCTACATTAAATATTTTTGGACAAGCAGGTAAAAGAGTTCTTTCCTTGTATGACACATTATGTAGAAAATCTTAGTTATTATCCGATTTTATAAAGGATGACATATTTGACAATGAATGTCACGTGAATAAAAGATTCCTTTACACACGTATTTAAAAGGAGAAAATATCGTAAAAAACGGGTGATAAAACACAAAGTTATGTCAGTCACACTTTTATTGAACAGATTATTAGTAAATAAAAAAAAGAAGAAGAGTAATGTAAGATGTGATCATAAATAAAACTAGCCAAAGCGATCAGGTTTAGGTCTTTATTTAACTTCTGTTAATATTTCTTTTCTTATACGAAACACTAATATTTATTTTTTCCATTTTAAAATTCTCATAGAACACTAGGAGAATTTTAGAAAAAGAAAGTTCAAGCAGATTTAAAAAAACCAGTATGATTTCAAAGAAATTTAAGTTTTAATAGTAAATCACAAAAATAAACCTTTAGTCTCATTTTTTAATGTAAGTATATGTATATTTTTTATAACAGTATAGAAATACAATGAAACAGGATATATCTTTCCATATCCGTAGCATCGAAAAGCAAATTTACCGTGATTATAATGATTTCCATCCCCAAGAGTCGAGCGAGAAATAATATTTTAGACGCGCGTTTTCCCAACGCGCTTTCCTTACTGCGTGACGTGCGACAACAGCTTCACGTTAATTAACGTTAACGCTCGCGAGGTATTCGTGTTCCATAAGTCACGACGGTAAACGTCATTTCCACTGTCAAGCGGCGAAATGTATTTTAAAGAGGTTCTCGCAAACATGGCGCCCGTAACGGATGTGCCGCGCCAGTGAAAATCATGACGTGTTTCTCAAGTCGCATTACATGAAAGAGAAAGAGTAAGGGAGAAGGACAGGGAAGAACGGAGGAAACGAGGGGAACTTGCGTGCCAAGCATCGCTGCGATACAATGTATGGCGCATAAAAGTGAGATTAACAGGATGTTTATCGAGCAATTATGCACCGCTGCAATTAGTGCCAGCATGTTGCCGTCGTCGTCCACGTCGCGGTCAAATCGTTCACGTCATCATTGTAGTTTATGCACCAATAGTGATTGCAATTTTCAAACGCACATGAATTTTAGTAACATCATTCAAGCAAAATAGGATTGCCTTTAACAATATAGGCATCATGTATAGGTACACTGAGAAAAATAGTCTGATTGGATTAAATAGTAATTTTGATGGAAAATGAACGAATCAGAAGATTTTCT